ACACGTCGTTCATAATGTGTGCGCGCAGGCGCAGTAATGAGCGAAAGAATTTTTTCTACTCCAAATTTTTTTTTTTTTGTCCTTTATTAATTTCCTTTCATTTACTTGTTGTTGTTGTGTGTTGATTCTTTCATCATTTTCGAGTGGCTGCACATGTGCACTAACGTCACCGGCTCCATTATGCTGCTCTCTAATGGTTTTGTTGCACACAAACTCGGCCGTTGCCGTTCGTTCCCACGGTTGCCACTTTCTTTTCACCTTCAGTGAGCAGCAGCAGCAGCAACAACGGCAATAACTACAACAACGACGACGAAAAGTCAGTGTGTACGGGGAGGTCGTCATCGGGGAGGAAATGTATTGAAAGGAAATCAATTACAACAACAGTGAAAAAAAAATGTAAACTAAATTGACAAAGAAAAAAATCTGGATGTAGAAGCAAGAGAATAGAAAGCCTGCAACAAGGACCTGCCGCGCTGATTTTTAACGCTCTGCTGACTGTTGCGCAGGCGGTAAGAATCAACGCAATATTTTGAGTAACCAAACACGTCGCTGGATGCGTGTAGGTATGCACAAATCAGGATGTGCTGGAGAGCCCTGTGCTTATGCAGTTCGTACAAAATATTGCCTTAAACGGGAAGAAATCTCGGTAAAGTTGTCAATGCACCTGGCTTACTACATGGAAAGGTTGGCTCTCCCAGAGTCACATCTCATAAGAATACTCGTGGCATATACAGACAATGTTGAGCTTGCTTAATCGTCCGTCGTTTGACTGTACGGGAACCTGAAACTCGCCAAACCTGTTCGTTAAGATAGCTGTTTACATATATCTGTCTGTCCTGCCATTATTGTAACGAGTTTTTTACTGAAGTAATACAACAAGAGGGAGGAAGGTAGGCACTGCCAGCAATAAAACCTGCCAGTAGTAAGAGGCAATTCAATTTTAATATTTCCTACGAGCTTTTATGCTGGAATGGCACGGATTTATAGCCGCCCAAGGACCGTCACTCCTCCAATATTCTCTGAAAACCAGTTTGGGGAATATTTTAGGGGTTACAAAAGCAACCATAACGTGTATTTTAGGAATGCTGCTGTACTACCGTAAGACTTTTATATCCAGCTTTTACATTTCCTCGTTACGCTCGATGTTGTTCTCAATGTAACGAGTATATCCGAGATTCCGAGATGCTTTTTTGTGGGCAGCTAATCAAAGTTTTGGTACGAGATGGGTTCCTAGAGCACTGAAACTCTCAAATATGTGTACATTTTGTACAACTGTTTTTTTATTCTCCTCTCTCTCTCTCTCTCTCTATCTCTTTCTCTCTCTCTCTCTCTCTCTATCTCCCACCCTCGCTCTCTATCTCCCACCCTCCTCTTTCTCTCTCTCTCTCTCTCTCTCTCTGTTCGAAACTGCATGACTTTCCCATGTTCCACAATTGAGGTTAAAACCCTATAGATGCTCTTCCTTCTTATTCTTATTCTTATTCTTATTCTTATGCTTATTCTTCTTTCTACCCTCTTTCCTCTTCTTCTTCCTCCTCCTCTACTCTTCTCTTCTTCAATGGCGTACACACCGCTTTCGCGGTTGTAGCCGAGTTAACAACAGCATTCGACACCTTGGCTCCTTTTCGCTGGAGGTCTTCCTCTTCCTCTGTTTCCGGGCACTGCATCGAAAACATTCAAAGCTTGAGTAATCCTATCCATCCGGACCACATGATCTAGCCAGCGTAGCCACTCTCTCTCTCTTTATACTCTGAACTATTTCAATGAACAACTGCCCAGTCCTAAGTAGCACCTGTTGGCAAAAGTCATTCTACATTGGATTTCAAGGCTGACATTGTTGTTGGTGTTAATGCTGGCTCCAAGTTAAACAATGTTATCTGCGACTTCAAACTTTGTCTGATGATAGGAGATATTTAGTTTTGCCCTCGTTCGCCATCAGACTCATTCGCTTCGCTTCTTTATCAGGTCTAGTGTCAGTCAGTGTATGAAATATTGTTTGGTATCGAAGGACTCAAAGAAGTTCTGCGTAGTTCTACTTAATAGATCCTTAGTTCTTAAATTACTATATTAGAGCCAAATCTGGTTCGAGGTCTTAAAGTTACGTTTCCACTTCCGCTGAGCTATTTGCTCAAATTGAATTTGAAGCTCTTTCATGAACGTTCTAAGGGAACATGGGGCAAAAACTCCGCTTCGGATCCCGAGTTGGTCAACTAGTCAGCTTCTTCGCTACCAAAAATATTGCTATGATATATGATTTTGGTAGGTGTAAAGAGAGAGAGAGAGAGGGGGAGGAAGAGAGAGAGAGAGAGAGAGAGGGAGAGGAAGATAGAAAGAGATGTTGAAATTTTTAGAGTTGATTTTGAACCCGTCGATGTAGATTGCGTTGGTACCATCCTTTCATACTTCGTTGCTTACTCTAACCCATCACGTCTGCAACATGCTGCATGAAGATATCCACAAGGCAATTAGTGTAGTAAGTGCATCTGTCCGTAACGGATCAATGACTTCTGCACGCCACCAAACCAGTGATCCGTAAGGAAAAATGAGTCTTATTACGGCCACCTACATGACTATATTTGATTTTAGGCCTCAAATCCTGCTTAGTATGTCCTTGAAGCTTCGTTTTTCAGTTTAGTTTGGTATTATTAATCTCAACATTCCGATATTTTGGAGTAGGGTATAGCAGTATTTTTGTATCACCGAGTGAAGGAAGCTGAGCGAGAACCTTGATATTATTAATTAATATTTTATTTATACTTGTGCAGCACTTACATATAATATAAAATTTAATAATTTCAAGTTGTAAGTTGTCTTCAGCTGTTCTCAGCTAATTAAATTAAATAACCTGGTCACCCCATTTAAAAACTCTTTATATGTGTCTCCACTAATTAGCGTCACTACTTGGCAGCACTGTGGAAAAGTCACTACAAAAAACTGTGTAAAACTGTTGCATATCTGTAGGCACTCATAAATGTGTTCGCCCAGCAGTGAATTTATGAGTGTTATATTTTTACCAGAGATCTTATGATAATTGTCTATAAGTGTCTAATTTCTTTGTTTAACTGCGGATAAATAATTCTTTTAAGCCATAATTAGCAAAAAAAATGGTTTTCTTCAGTGGTTATCGCGTAAATAAAATAATGCCGCATTCAGACTCGTAGTAAGCAGGCAACCTGGGAACTACTAACCAGAAGTTGACACACATATAACATGGAGCAATGGAAATGGCGCTTACCTCCAGATGAGGTGTTGTAGTTAAGGCCACGATTATCGCTTAAAGTAATTCTTGATTTCTTCAGAGCAGCTGACATCAAGAAAATGCGAAGGAGGAGTTTAGAACGAAAGAACGTAGACTTTTTCTGATACTCGGACAGGGTCGCCAAATACTAAACTCTACACCACTCTCGCAAGAGGTGGAATGCACCACTTCTGTGTCCTGTTTCGACAAAACTTTGCAAACAAAAATCTCAAAGGAAGGAAGGAATGAGGAAAATGCTGCAGTTCTGAATCATGGATTTGTAGCCATCTTCACCACAAACTTTAAGCTCGTTGGTAAAGTAGGTTATGGCGTTTACTCTGAACCTCTTGCTATAGATTTAAGCACTGCTACAAAGTCTTTCATACCACCTCAAAACTGAAGAGAGCCTAAACAAACTTTCCACTGTAAGCGAAACGTTCATGGTTTACGCCTCTAATAACATGGCCATCCCAGGGAACTGCGAGGCCAACGAATCGGCTTGAAAGGAAACAGTCTTAGCCATGGTAAACTGCGCACATTGCGTGCCGACAGCAGAAAAATCTGGTAATTAAACGAGGTAAACTGAACTAAGTCTTTACTCCTTCTCAACTGGATCTCTATAAGCATAACAACCGACGTAATACCGGGCACTGCCTTATGGGGACTCTTGGTATAAAGATGAAGGCTGGTTCTCAATCGACTGCTGATGCAGTGGCATAGATGAGGAGGAAGTTCTTCTTCAACTGCGTTGCAGAGGTAGGCATTATTGATCTTTTGAATGCCATACAACACGACAAGGTTTTCAAGTATGAGGACGAGTGAAAATGATATCCTCAGTAGGACCGTAGGGAGAACCATAACAGGCCCTTACCGGAAGCCTGGTTGATGGCCAGGCAAATCAGAAAGTGAGTACTCGACTTTAGGGTTTGCATACAGCACCAGCTACAACAATTGGTACACAGACGATACGCATTAAACACCCATTCACCGAGAGTCCGTCAACACCTTCCTGAACTCCTTACCAGTGAATGACGTTCTCGGAGTCAACCACATATGCAACGTATGTATGTCTCGCATGCAATGAGTCGCCGCAGGAAACTATCCACCTCTTTGCATGCCCCCTAAAACCAACTCAGCCCCTTTCCCTCTGGTTCGAACCCGTCGAAACAACTCCCGTTAGATAACCTCGATGACTTAGGCTGACCTTGTCAGCTCTTAAGCGGGTTTAGCAAACCACAACAACAGCAACCATCAACAACATTGGAGGACCCTCAAGGTCTACCAACCCGGATGCACACATCCCAATGAGATATCATCTCCATAACTCAGGTAAAGTAGAATCCGTTGTGTGCAGTGCATGCCCCGGAGATGACGAAACTTTGGAGTATTACTTTTGCGAGCATCCGGTCCTCAGCCGATTGAGAGACGTCACACATCACGGAGGCGGGCACGCATGTTTCAAAAACACTTGGAGATTTTGTAAAATCGAGTGAACTTTTAGCGCACACTTCATTGGGATACAACGGGAGAGCACAAAGAGCGGGCTCAATAACTTAGACGCGACCACTAGCGGTCAGATCCTCAACCACTCTCTTTCAAGCAAACAATACACTAAACTTGAGACAACAAAATTTAATTTTCCGAAACTGGTTTTAAAAATCCCTACTCCAGAAGAAAATGCTTCAGCGAAATTGCTGAAAAATTATTCAATATTTTATTTTTTTTTATTTTTACTTTTAAAATATTTATTTTATTTTCTTAATTTTTTTTTTTTACAAAATAACACAACATCACCACGAATCTTAACTATTAATTGGACTAAAAATATCAGATTTTTATAAAATCATACTGCACATAGACATTTTGTTGTTGATCTCTCTTTTATTACTCTGCTCTTCTACTGAGGTACCGTTGTGCATTTGGGCAAGAGTATTTTTCTTTAATGAAAGTTTTTTTTTTTGTTCTAATGAAATCTGCACACACGAATGGCATAGAAAGAGAATCAAATATATATATATATATATATATATATATAGTTTAATTAAAAGAGTTCTACAAATATCACAAAAGTAATTTGCATATCAAAAAAACAACAACTATTAAGCCAAATACATATATACATATGTATGTATATAAATATGTACGTGCATTTAAATAATGACTGCAAGAGCTAAATGATAAAAAAAGTAATTACGTAAAAAAACTATAAAAACTATAATACCCAAAAAAAAAATTAAATAAATTTTTTTGTTTACAAAAATAATAATAAAAAGACAGATGGCAACACTGCAACGCTTTATTTCTTCGGTTTGTAATCCTCCGTAAAGCCATAAGTATCCGCCACTGCAATAAATTAGAAAAGAATTAAAGATAAAAAATTAAAAAACAATAAATATATGTATGTGTGTATATAATAACGGTTATTCAACTGCGCCGTACATTCATAATCAGCTGAATAGCATGCAAAGAAATCACCCAACAGCTTGCCGGACGGCAGCTCCCAAGTACCCGTGCCGCCATATTTCGCCGGCAGCGCTTCCTTATCGATGTGCGACGCCAGCGACTTCCAGTCTTTGCCATGGAAGAAAATCTGAAAACAAAGAGAATAGTAATACAAACTAAAAAAAAAAAATATTTCTTCTAAATATTTTATCTTTCAACGGCAGTCTTATTTGCGCATAATATTTTTATCGGCTTTTTTCTTTTGTTTTGCTTTTTTTTATTTGTTTATCTTACTCGCTTCCTCAGCTTCTCGCGTATGAATGGCTTGAAGATCGCAAACAACATATTGAATATGTATGAGTTATTCACAATATGCACCGCCTTCAGACGCACACAAATGCACTCCTGTACATAATCCAAAATCATAGCGGCGAAGGAGGGTGTGAACTGCATAATATGACTCATGGGCAAATCCTCCATATCGATAATGACCACCGCGCCGCAGATTTGCGAAAGCGGTTCGGCCATGGAGCCGAGTACCTTGTGATGGAGAGAGACAATTAATTTGAAAATAAAGACAGAGAGAGAGAGAGAAAGGAACCTACTGTCAACTGTATGGTGCGGAAGAGATCGACGAGTGGTGCGCGTGAGGGTTTCCATTTTTCTGAAAAGAAGAAAGATAGTAAATATTTAAATAAAATAATATAAGTCTTCAAATGGAGTGTTTGACGAGTCTAACAATGAGGATTACGCCTAACAATGAAGGCTTGCTTTTATTGATTTTCAACCCACGGCGAGAACATGTAAAGAGACCATTAACAGACTATCGCGGGGAAAATCACTGAAGACCCAGCTCACACAAATGTAGATGGCAATGACAAGGCGGACTGATGCAACTGGCGAGACAGTCTCCAATGATAGCCCAAGAACCATCAACGCTTTCAAATGTGCTCTAAGGCATTGGACCTTCGTACATATGTATCCGAATATGTGTCCGACGTATTATTTTTCATGATGCTCCCAGCTCGAGGCTTATGGAAGTGAGAAGAAGTTGAAACAGTTTATTAAATAGCGCGAAAAGTACACAATCACTTCGGTGGAGCCAACTGCGGTGGGGTTCAGTACCTCCAATTCAAACCAACCAAGCAACCAACGGCAGAGTCAAAATGGCGCCTCTATCAGCTAGAAGAAACATACCTTTTCTCTGGTTTATACTAACATTCAGCTATAAAAATCAACTCTACTCTCCTATCTTTCTCAGTTCTCCCACTGCCAGACATATACAACTATCACCAGCGAACCCATTTCACCAGTTCGTGCGAATGAGTACCGACGGCTAGATCTAAAAGCTCAAGTTAACTACGCCAAATTCCTACAGTTAGTAAGGCAAAGTTATTGTTGGTAGCTCACGAAAAAATCGGCCGGATGCTTGTAAATTACGCTACACCGATTTGGATGCCGGAAATGTGAAAGACTAAGGTAAAAAGGCTGCAATCCAGCCAGAACATCACCTTGAGCGCCGAACATGTGGGCAAACCTCCTAAACCTGATGCTGCTTATTCACCACCTACGGTATCTACCGGGTTAAGCAGCAGTGTATCCGGAAATTCTACTGCTGATATTGCTCTTATAGACAAATATTTGAAGGGAAATCCTACCTCAGACATGTTAAAATTAATTAAATACTCGACTATTTATACTATAAACCAATCAACGAAATATTACAGAGCTGTCATTCACAGACAGTCCGTCAATTCTTTCGTTCACTTTCTTCCAGTTAATGGAGCAATAGATACGGCTTGAGCTGCGCCGTGAGACCCGATTTATACTAACCGAAGATCTGTAGTACACGTAACCTCCACTTATTCAGACTCGACCCTGACCAACACCTCTTTGCATCTCTCTCTAAACCTAATCGTTTAATGCCCATATTCCTGGACCTCTTATTAGATGTACTCGAAGACATCGATCAGCTTTGACTGCTCCTAATCAAGGTTTCCTAGCCTATAACGACGGCAACAAAGTATTCTATTGCATGGAAAAGAGTGCGAGGATAGTATTGATATATTATATATATATTGATTCAGCTGACAGGCTTCCAAATTAACTGGAAATTTGCCTAAAGAGCCTACATATGACCAAGACATTCTAAGCAAAACTTTCAAGCTACAAGTGAGATCTGTTTGTTAAGAGCAGAAGCAACACTAGCTCGGAAGCCCAGTCGTCATTAGTTAAACAAACGAAGGTTCTCGGTGATAACTAACTCTTTGAGGAGTCTGAGGAGTCAGTAACACCCCGGGAATTATGCATATTGGTACTGAAGTAATAGATTCGAACTAACGAACGACCTAGTGCTGCTGACATCGAATTTAAAGTAATTCGAAAAAAATTTTAAAAAGCCAATGATTAAGAACAAGAAAGTCAGGTAGTCACATATGCATGTATCTAATTTATACTCACTTCCCGCCTCGATAGCAAGTATCCGCCGTCCATGTTGATCCCGGTTCGGAAATAGAGCCATGATATCCTCATCGAAGACATTACGCAATTTGCTGGGTACAATATTCTCACAGGCTGCACCATATTTCGCTTTCATGTGATAGAAGTGCGTGAGCTAAAGAGAGAGAGAGAGAGAGAGTGAGAGAAGAATTAAAAGGGAAAAATAAATTTTTAAAGGAGCTTTTGAGAGTTTTTTTTATTGTAAACAACGGTTTAGTAGAGCCACTCCCTGCTAAGCTACTCTCCTAAAGAGTAAGTTATCATTATATGCTCTTTTTGATCGCTGAAATGCACCCACTTACCCTCTTCATCGCCGACTCTGGATAGTAATGGCATGGACGCAGGAACATTTTCATATATTCATCTTCCAAAGGCAATTTTAAGTGTTGTTCGGCTATTAGCAAGAGAGTTGGAAAAAAAATAATGAAAAATTTTAATTTATAACTTACGTAAGCTTTCATTTTATGAAGCAACTTTCACATAAGGTCTCATCGTAAAACAAAACTTTTATTACAAATAAAAGCTTTCACACAAATTTTCTTTATAAAGAGCACAAAATCTCTTTTTTATAAGAAAAAGCTTTCACATGAAATTTTACTTATATAGAAAAACTTTCATTAAAACAGCTTGCACAAAAATTTTCAAATAAGGAAAAGCTTTTATGTAAAATTTCCCATTGAAAAGACGCTTTCACTAAACTTGAAAAAAAAACGATGTGACAGCTTTCATTGTAAAGAAAGCCTTACACGTAAAATTTCCCAATCAAAAAGTTCCCACTAAATCAGAAACAGTAAAGCTTTAACATAAATTTCCATTTATAAAGAATAGAAGCTTTCATTATAAGAAAATGATTTCACATTTTCTTTATAAAGAAAAGCTTTCACAAAAACTTTTATTTCAATGGAAATTGTTCACATAAACTTTCCTTACAAAAAAGTTTGCACATAAACTTTCCTATTAAAGAATAGCTTTCACGTTAAATTTTCTCTTGATAAGAAGCTTTCACTACATTAAACAAAAAAACGCGAAAATACTCACCTACAATTAACTCACGCAACTTTTTAATAGCCGGCTCCATTATTTCAGGTGTTTCGCGCAATTCCTGACGCGCTTTCTCTAACGCCCATTCCGGAGCTTCTTCTTTTTCCATGCGTATAACAGCGGTACCCAAATCTATATAGGGCAAATGATTATCATCATACTGTATACACTCGGCCTTCACCATAGCGCTGACTGCGTGGGTAAGTGGGGTGGGAATTAATCAAATGAAATTACTGCAAATGGGAAAAAAGTAAATAAAGTAAAAAGTGAATTAGTAATTAAATTCAAGTTAAATTGTGTTAGCGGCTATTGCAGTTAATTATTATAATTAACAATTTTTATTATATATTTCATTAAATTTTATTTTATTTTTTTATTTCATTTTATTTTATTTTATTTTTTTATTTCATTTTATTTTATTTTATTTTATTTTATTTTATTTTATTTTATTATAGCTATTAACTCACTAAATAACAATTATTATAATCGTGCAAACATTTTTTTTCTCACTCAATTGCCTGAAGTATTTAGTAAATTCACTTTCTTTAGATTTGCAATCAGAAGCTTTTTTTGCCGTCAGCTCGAGCTGTTACCTGCGCTCGTAATGGACGCTTTTATTGTCATTATTTTAATAAAAAAGTGAGAAAAAAGGGAATGAAGCAAGAGCAATAGAACGAGTGAAACGAGTCATCATAAAATAAATATATACTTATATATTTATATGTATATGTAAATATGAAAATATACTGTTATATGTAACAAACAGGAGAGCTGGGAAGCACCTTAATTTTTTAATTATTCTTTTTTTTATATTTTTACAATTTTCTTCTGAGCTTAATATAATTCTCTCAAGCGCTTAGTTAAACATTTCTATTTTTTTCAAATTTAATTAATGCAATTTGCAAATACTTTATTCTGTCCAAGTTTCATGACCAGCCGCACACATTGCAAATATCCGCTTATATGTACGTATATTGTGTATGTCTGTTCTCAGTGTATGAAACGTGTTTAATTCAATATTTGCACTCAAATTATCACATTTGAGCTGTAATTGCAACTACAATTCAATAAATCAAATATACTCTGGCGTTTGTTTATATTTCGCTTCGAGTTTTTTCGCCGATTTAAAATCTATGCATATTTTCACATTAAGGAGGTTCAATGAAGTCTCTGCTGTTCATCAAGACAATAAAAAGTCGAAAGATCGGGGTTGAAAAGGCTATAAAAGAAAGAATTTTCGCTGTCATGCCAGAATTCAATTCCAGGGCGCACGTTCAATGTACAAGAGAGTTATTTGACAGCTTGAGAGTCCATCAATTAAAAAAAATATTCGACCAAAGAGACAGACGACGGTGGTATCACATGCACCTTCTGCGACTTCAAAACAAAGCTGTAGTGAAAGAGAAGAAAAAAGAGAAAGAGAAAGGAAAAGAGAGAGAGAGAAAAGCAAAGGACGAGAGTAGAAACAAGTCACTCTGCAGTTCTTGACTCTGGCGTATATATGGAGAAGGTTGAATTATCTCTCATTTTTACTTAATTACAATTTAGAAGAGAGCTGAGCAAAGTAGAGTTTTTCAAAAGAACAAATTAATCTGTCTTCTCGCGCCTGAAAATTACTACCAGTGAATATACAAGCAAATCAGGTAAGCAATTTTTTTCGACGTTGGTTGGGTCAAAAGAGATCAAATGGCGTATAACGACAGGTCACGGCCTCATAAGACAATCTGCTGAAGGGCTATATGCTTCCATCAAAAGAACATGCAAATCAATCAGAAGAACGAGAGAATTCCTCACCCACTACATGACTGCCCTGGCTCGGTGTAGAATTCGACTTCACAATCTGTGCACCAATTTTTTGGATGATGGTGGGTGGCAGACGACAAGCCAATCAATCTACTAAAGCTTATTGTTCATGTATGTAACATATAAATGGTCCGGGCCTAAGTAAGCCGTTGTTCTCAGATCCGCAGTCTTCAATATCTCTCCGCGGCCCGGATTTTTATGCATCCAGGGAACCAATATTCTTCGAAAACTAATTGAAAAATATTTTTTTGGTCACAAAAAAAAACGACAGACAAAATTCTGATTACTAAGCCGCCCGACCGACCGATGGATTCCCAAGGGCTACTTCAGCAAATCAGATATACACTAAGAGGGCTTCTCATTCCCTACCGAGGTGCAGCCGTAATTAAAAAAAAAATAGTTTTCCATAATTTTGGATATTGATCGGACCAGTACTCGAATGATGACCTTCCGAATGGTAGTACGTAATGCTGATAACTCAGCTATTGAAGCCGCCGCATTTTTATCTTTGATTTCCGGTCGAAATCAAAACAGAAGAGGTAGAGTTGTCACTGTAACAACTCCGACAATCCATTGTCCGATAAGATCAAACAGATAAAGTAGATGAAGAGATTTGAATAGATGTAAAGCAAATTTGATGGTCAAGAACAGTTCATTTTAATGAAGATTTCTTCAAATTCAGGGAGCTTTTATAAAAGGCAACCAATGACGAATATGAAATGCTTCTCTAACCAGCTTGAGCACAGTTCCCACGTATTGGCGTAGAAGGTGAACTAGACCTAGTTTTAATGAAATTGTATACGTCTAAATCTAAGTAAAGTGCGGACAGCCCTGGTTAAGCTTACAAAGACTAGTTGCCCAATATCCGTCAACTCTTAAAGACAGCCCTCAGAGGCTTTTAAAAATACAAAAGCACTTTCTGCTGGACGCTGCGGAGCTTTGCAGCGAAGTCAGAAAAATTGACTGCACATAAATTTCAAATAACCTTTCAATATCTCAAAAAAAAACAAAAAATTCCAATCTTAATTATATTTGATTACAGCCGTCAATATATATAATTAACGGTACATTCCAGTTGACCATAAAAATAGAAAAATAGATAAATAAACAAATTATGGCACCTTGCACAACATAAAGCCAGTTAATCCCTATTGGAAATTGGCAATTACTGTTAAATGCTTAATTTCTACTGTAAAACCACTTGAGTGCCCAGGCAATATATACACACACACACGCTGTGTAAATCGTGAATATTAATTAAGCTTTTTGTTTTTTTTTTCAAAAAAAAATTTTCATCGATATTGCGATTAGAGGCTGACAACAATTTTAATTGTATGTTTACAATTAATAAATTATACATATACATATGTATGTATGTATTTATTGTTAACCGAAGGTATTTATTGGTACAAGAGAGGGTGGAGGCACTTTTATATCGATGAGGCAAATGTAATTTAATTGATTCCATGCCATCATGAATTGAATAGATAATTTATATTTTACATAACAAAATCACATTTAATTACAAAAACTATACGTTTCTAGGAACTGGTGAGAAAGCAAGTAAATCTCGATATATATAGAAATCGTATGTTCGTTTGTAAAGATCCGCACATCTCGAAAAGTTACCGACCGATTAACATGAAATTTTGTTAGATTTTTTTAATAGTTTTTGAAAAGGTTTAGGGTGGTCTATTCAATTTACCAGAGATTCTGTACATCGGTGGATTTTTGGATTAGCAGGCATACTACTCTTTTCACCGGGAAATAGATCAGAGACTCACTTATCCGAAAAAAACGTATTTAATTTCTCCACGAAGTGGGCCCAGAACTGAAATTTTAGAAAAAAAAATGTATTTATGATTCGATTTAGTCAAAAAGAGATCAGATGGCGTATAATGACAGCTCACTGCCTTATACGACAACCTGCTGAAGAGCGAGAGAATTTCTCATCCTGACTCGGTGTAGAGTTCGGCTTTACAATCTGTGTACCATTTTTTTGTATGATCATTGGTGGGTGGCAGACTACAAGCTCCGCAGTCAGCAATATATTTCTATGACCCAGATTTTTATACGTCCAGGAAACCAATATTCTTCGTAAACTAATTGAGGAAATATTTTTGGTTCGTTTTAGCTGAAATGCGATACAAAGACGGCTTTTCACTTTAATTTTAGCAGGAAGACGTATCTTCTCTCTGGAAAGTGAAAGATTTAGTAGTCCGTAACATTATACAATTTTTGACACTAAACGTGTTTGCTCTGGGTTATTTTCTAACCAGATGCTACAACATTGAATACACGGAGCACCAAACGTTAAAATATTTGTTTCAAGAAATTCTTTTTCGGTCGCAGAAGTAAGAAAATATGCTTTTTATTATTCCATTTGAAAGTCGACATTTTTTACTTTTTTTGAAACTTGGACTTATAGGCTTCCTCGACTATATGTGAAACGTCTATGAAGGTTTGGCTATCTGGTCATAGGAACACCCCGGGGAACTGGCCGAAGAGAAAACAGTCAAAATAGTCCGGTAAACTTTACTCATGATGTAGACATACCTTTTTCCTCTGCTAAGTATTTGATAAGACACGCCTACACCAGAAAAGCCAACAGCGGATGAGAGAGTGTAACCACGTGCAATCGATCGCAGTGAAAAGAACTAAGTCTTTACACCTTCTAAACAGGACCTCCATAAGCATAACAACCGCCGCATTAACCGGACACTGTATTGTGCGGACTCATGGTAGAAGGGTGGGCTGTTTCTCAAACAACTTTTCTTTCGCTGCTCAGTTCCCAGTGGTTTCCGTTATTGATTTCACTCATCATTAATCTCATAAACTTCGTTAAATCAAAAAACCAAATGGTTAGAGCATCTAGAAAAGTGCGAGGAATCTTCTTCACTGAATCAACATCAAGCTACCTGTTTAACTAACTAACTGACTCTAGATTTCCGAACATCAATATATTTAGCCGTTAGATTGAATTCAAACTTTCAGCGTAATTAAGAGATTTTATAATGAACTTGTAGTGCTAAAAAACCTACAATTATTAAAACAATATTCTATCTGCTTACCAAAATTTCCTTGAAACATCTCTAAAACTGTGAGATGGAGCAAATCCATTCAGCTCTTGCCTTCATGATACTTTGTCACAGTTTTCCAAAGTTTTAACACAGCAACCATGGAAGACATAAACTCGCTGAGGTTCAATGTGATTTTCTCCACATGTTTTTTTATTTAAAAATGGGAGATTTTTTAAGGGAAGCTATGCTAGCTTTGAGGCCGACTGCGAAGAGAGAAAAAAACTACCTTTAAATTATTGTATCATGGTCTAATCATAATACAAAAAAATTTGACATAAAAATATTTATTGACATTATATCTTTTTTTTATTTCAACTTCAAGATATTGCCACATTTCAAATATTTTTCAA